TTTTTTTTTTTTTTTTTGGAAATAAAATACACTATATAAAGATGAATTTGATAAATATAACTGAAAAAAATATATTTAATTTACAAAAATGGACTTATTAATCTCTATTTCTGTTCAAGTATGTAAGTATGTATGCAAAAACTAATTATAATTATACTTAACTTATTTATTATGAAACAAAGATACTAACATGAAATATGTTCTAATGAAATAATCGAATTATTATTTATTTATTGTGATTCATTTTTTGATTAAATAATTTTATAAACTATAAAGCATCTCATTACAATTGTGTTTGTTAGATTAAAAAAATTCCTGAGAATATTTACCAGCAAATTTAATCATTTAAGTATAAGTAGATATAATCACATAAAATAAAATAATGACTAGAATAATAGATACACGAAAAAATTGTTTTGTTGCTATGGAATGCCTGATTGTAAATTACAACACTGGCTAGGTGGAACTGTCCAATTATATTGATAGCTCATACGATTTCTTATTTCTTTCATACATAATGCTCCTGATGCTTGATAATATTCATGCATATTTTTCATATTTTCAATGGACTGTTTGTGAGTAACTATATATTGATTAGAACATCCACGAGACCTATATTCTGTATCAAACCGTATGTCATGCTTTCTTTCAATATTTGCCAAAGGTGCTACCCAAAGACCAACAGATACATCTTCTGCTTTATACAATCTAAAAATATATTCAATGATATAAGTTATTGTCTAATACTTATTAATAACTCAATTTTGTGTTTTTAAAATCTTACTTGAAAATGTCTGCATTTGTAGCAATATATTTTATTAAATTATAAGACAAAATATATCCTCCCCCAAGTGCATAAGGGAGATAATAATCACATAATATCCAGTCTGTCTCCTTCCATGGTCCATTTCTTTTCACTTGTGCCTTCCCATTAAAAAAACCCCAATATAATTCTTTCCTTGTTCCTTTGTTATCCCATTTATCTAGTTCTTTTAAAATCTTATGTATTAGAACAAACGTATCATCATCACATTTCATCAAGAAGTCAAAGTCATAGTATTCATAGATTTCCTTGAATGCATACAAAACTTTTTTTGTCAAAGTTCCATAAGAATCTAGTACTTTTGATATCAAAAGTAAATCATTGAATTTCTGGTTTTCGGAATGCAAAGTTTCTCTTTGCTCTGGCAATATATCTAATGTTCCTATTACAAATAAATGCTTAACTGTGGCCTGTTTTTGTGTTAACCATGTTTTTCTGATAGTTGCTCTTCGTTCTAAGTTATCAGGACTGGAGACTATAAGTATTATAAGCCTGAATTTCGTTTTATTTTTTACTTCTTGTTCATTAGAAGTACACTTTGTAGAAGGTAAATAATATATACATAAGAAAAAAATTAACAATATCATTAGCAAAGTTGGAATATTAAATTTCACATGTAACTTTTTCTTAATCATAATGGATAAATGCTTGGATGAAGATTTTAATGGTAAAGCGTCAGAGAATCCATTCGGTAAGTATGTTTCTTTTCTAATTCACATTCTTAACCTCTTTAGTACTATCTTCGTACATATAAAATTCGATACTTCGACATCTTTTTGAATGCCTACCTTTTAAATTAATACAATGTATTATTTAAGCATTTCTATAAAAAGAAATTGCGATTTCTTCATATAATTACATTTAAGTAAAGTTTACAAAAACCCAAATGACTTACAGAAACCTAACTTTATTAGTAAGAAAAATCAGCTGTTAACTAAATATATGAATTATTCCACTACTCCATTCAAAAGCTTCAAGTACACAACTAAGTTTTTGATGAAGTTAAAAAAAAATTAAATATATTGTAATTGTAAATTATACATGAAATGAAAAATAACATTCTTTTTATTATTCTCAGATTTTTATTTCACTTAAATATAAAGCATTTATGAAGGATAAATTGATATTTACGTTTATTGTATAAATTTTACTTAGGTCACAAAATATTTTGATCTTCAGGTTTACAATAGTTTATAAATATCATTTATCATTGAATTAAATATCCAGTTAATAAATAACCTCCTGTATCGCTAGTTAAAATATCAGGATGTGTTCTATCTGGTAGTACTTGGTATGAACGCAAGAAATTAGTAAAAAGTCTCAGATTAATAACATTTTGTTTTTGTTTTAACATCATATAAGTTTCTTGTAATGGTTCTCGATATATGTGGTAGATTACAAATGGTCTAGAAGGTCCTAAAAAGGGTAAAAGAGCATTAACAATATTTAAAGGATGCTCTTTTGCCACAATAGCTAAACCTCGAGCTTTAGTATTTTTTACAAGCTCTACTGCTCGTTGCGTTTCCAATAACCACTTTGGTTTTTTTGCAGGTATAACTTCTGTAAATTCATACTCATTACATTCATTCAATTTACGTTTTAAACTACTGTCTGTACTATGCTTGAGTGTTTCATTTGAATCATTAACATTAACATCCAAATTTTGTTCTCTGATATCTATCTCTTTTATTTCCAAAATTTCATTATTTATATGATTTTCACCATCACTCTTACTTTCATTTTGTTTTATTGTGCAGTTATTAAGAGTTTTCTTAGAAATGTTATTCAACACAGCACCTTCACCTTGATAATATAATCTCAGAAAGCTATATATGTTAACATTAAGTAGCCTCTCTGATTGCTCTTTAGAAAAATTCATAGCATTAATCAGCACAACTTGAGGAACATTTCCAGGATGCAAATTGATTAAACATCCTGTTGTATTTGAACCTATTCTATTTAACATTGCAGCAGCTGGCAGCCCCTGTGATCCATTATCATATAATATATATAATCCCTCTGATTGAATATCGCTATATGATAATAACTGTGACAAAGAGTCCATTCTTAAATTTCCAATTTTAGTATGATCTAGTTTAAAATATACATCATGTAATGAACTTATACTTGGTTTGCATATTGTTAAATACCGAAGATATTTTTGTTCCTTTTTTTTTAGATACTTTTCCTGTGAATATTCTGTTCGATCTAAGAAAGACTTATTGTTTTTAATTAAACTACCCACTATTTCTTTTCCACTTTTGCCAGATTCTTGAAGCTGAAGTATTTCTTCCTTGGAAAGTTTCTGTGATGTACCATCATCAATAATAGAACGATTGTCATTACCACTTGGTAATTCGTTTAATAAATCATTTAATGTTTCTGTTTCTAATACTTCTCTCAATGAATATGTTCGTTTTCCCTCTTTTATTGGTACCATTTCAAAAGTAGTCCAAAAGCGTTTTCCAATAATTTCATGCATTTGTATTAAATTTTTTCCCAACATTAAAGTGCCATTAACAGCTACCTTATAAATTTTTTTAAAATTCAATCTTTTTACTATTACAAACTTTCCTATAGTAATTAAGTCGTTTTCGTTTTCACACATATTTCTCAATCTCATAGATTTTTTTAAGGGTGCACGTTTTTGTGAATTGAACTCTATTATAGGTTAAAAATATTATAACTAACCCATCAGTTTAAATTTATTTAACTTGTGCACAATAATTTTCATGGTATTTTACTTTTATATAATTCTACAATGTCTATTTAAACATACTGCAAATATAACTACATTTGAAGTACGACAATGTAAACGTATGAGTGAATAACCAACACACTAATATATCATTGATGGCATACACACCATTTGTGATTAGAGGTTAAAGTAACGTAAAGGAAAAAATATTGAAGATTTTATTCTTTCTTTTTTTACTGTACGTTTTATTATGATCATAAGGTTATGGAGCTAATCCATTTTTAATTTCAGTATACAATACATTCTTTTTTCCATAATTTCTCAATATTGATTATTATAATATATATTTTGTAATAGGTAAAAAGAATGTTTCCTTATAAAGAATTTCAAGCAGTTGTACTAGCTGCTGGATTTGGTTCCCGTATGACTGAACTTACTAGAGGTGAATACAAATGTTTATTACCAATTGGAAATATACCAATGCTTTGGTATCCTCTTCAATTACTGGAACGTGCTGGTTTTAAAGAAGCTATTGTTATTATATCTGAATATATGGAGCGTGTTTCATTAATCCTAAATGATTTAAATCTTAAAATTAAAATGGATTTCGTTGTTATCGAAAATGCAGAAAATATAGGGACTGCAGATTCCATTAGACTTATTCATGAGAAAATCCATACAGATTTTCTAGTGATCCCCTGTGACTTGATCACTGATGTTGATATATGTGAAATTTTGAATCTTTATAGAAAACACAATGCTAGTATTACAGCACTAATGTTGCCTGTTCCTAAAGTACCAAATGACATTATAACTCCAGGTCCAAAAAACAAACAAAAACCTGATACTGATTTAATTGGTATTAACAATGAGACAGGACGTTTAATTTTTTTTGCATCAGCTTCAGATTTTGAGGAAACAATAAAAATTTCTCAAACATTACTTAAGAAACATCCAAGTTTTACTATTCATTCAAAATTAATGGATTCTCATTTATATGTCATTAACAAATGGGTTTTAGATTTTCTGGTACATAATAAGTAAGTATACTTATGTAAAATAGGTTTTAATAATTTAATTTGTAAATTTTTATAATGAACTATTTTTTCCTCGTTTTTATAGAAATTTTACTACATTAAAAGGTGAACTTCTTCCATATATTGTTAGTAAGCAGTTTTCAAAACCCCCCAAGCAATGTGTGGATGATAAAAGTACTTCTATTGTTCAAATGAATTTAAAGAAAGACATCTACAGTTTTTCAACTGAGAAGCCACTCAATGAATTAATTAGGAAAATGTCAGCTTTCAATGATCATGATACTGATTTAGAAGATGCATATTATGGAGATATAATACGATGTTATGCTTACATTGATAATGGAAAATTTGGTTTGAGAGCAAATACTATACAAATGTATCACTTTGCCAATACTAAGGTGGGAATGAGGAAAGGTTTATATTAATTAATAATTCTAATTTTAATATTATATAATTTGATAAAATTAATATTTTAGATATCAGAATGGTGGAATAATAATAATGGACTATTTTGTTTACCAAATATTGCAGTTACTGCAACTCTACGTAGCACACAAATGGAAAATTGTCGAGTTGATCATAATGCTGTTATTGATGAAAAAACATCTCTTAAAAATACTCATATTGGACCCAATGTAGCTGTTGAGTCAACAGCTAGAATATCGCAAAGTGTATTAATGGAAGCAGTAACAGTTCGACAGAGGTATAATTTAAATAATTTAGCTCTCTATTCAAACTTTTAGTAAAAAAATGAAGGAATTATTTGTTATATATAAATCATTTTTATAGATGCATAATACATAATTGTATATTGTGTAATGGTTCTTTTATTGAAGAGAATACAGAGTTAAGGAACTGTATAGTTGGACCTATGCATGTTGTAGAATCTGGAAGTCAATATTCTCATGAAGTCATTATGGATCCAACTGATTTGGTGCTAATTTAATCATTTGTAATATTAAATATATTACATATAACGAATATATTAATTACTTAAATAATAAATTGATATATCTGTATAAATGTAGTGTATTACTTTTAATTCAAATTAATAATGTCCCGAAGTAAAAATAAAATAAATAATATATATTGCATGCTCTTTGAATATAATTATACAAATAGTAAACAAACTTCTTCATTAAATATAATTAACATGATTATACTTACTGATGTAACATACATATTATGAGGATTTCATACTGTATACCTAATGACATATACATTGTGTTATAAAGTTTTAGCACCATATATATAACTATACTGAGTAGTTTTCGCTTCTTGATCTAATAAGGAGAGTGCAAGTCCTTCGGGTCACCGATTTAGTTGAAACTTTGCAGGTTTGTAGATATAGTCCTGCAGTTTAAGAAAATATATCATTATAGCCGCAACTACTCAATAGTTTTTGAAATATTTGCGATTAAAGTTTCATTACTTCCAAAATTATGCATTTATTTACAATATATTTCAAGTTATGTTGTAGCGTCACGGCAACGATCGAGAATTGCTATACTGAAGGAGCAAGGGGTTCGATTCCCGTCCATAATTTTTTCAATATATTTTTTATTTTGTATTCATTTTTCGCCTATGATAACATTGTAAATACACAATTATAAATAAAATTTCTTAACAAAAAAATTTATTTTTTACACTTTCTTATACTAGTATATATTTATTACAAAATAATAAGAATATTATGCAAGAAAAATACTTTTCTATAGCAA